TACACACACCAACCTGGGCGAATCCCACTAACTTAATATGCAGTGAAAGAAGCCAGACACAAAGGAACAGAGTGAGTGCTTCCATTTACATCAAGTTGAAAAACAGGCAAAACTAACCTGTACTGTTAGAAGTCGGGATAATGGTTGCCCTTGGGAGGGAAAAAGTACCTGGAAGGGGCTTCGGGAGCACTTGGAATGTTCTGTTTCTTAACCCAAGTGGATTCAGCTGTGGAAATTCTTTGAGCTGTGTGCTTAAGGTTCCATGTACCTTTCCCTTTCATATGTGATAGTGTGCGTCCCTCTGTATGTTAGGCATCAATAACATTTTTCTTTATAAAAACATGCATATCGAGTGGCTCGGAATGACCAGGGCTCCTGGCTGTGGATGTCAAGGCCTGGCCCAGTTTCCCCGTCATGTCGCTGAACTGCACGAGCGCCGCCAGGCGTTGGACTGCAGTTCGCGCACTACTGTCACCACCGCCAGCTCTGCAGGCCTTGTTGCCTGGGACCTTGATCCTGCTGTAGCAACTGCCACCTGAGGGTGACACTTCCATTCCTGGCTCCATTCCGCCGCCCTCCTATCTAAAATCTGGGGCAGATGCCTGTGTTAGGTGGAGCCTCGTCCATCCTTGCTGCAAGGGAGGCTGGGAAAGCAAGCATCTGACATTTTCAGCTTTTACAGTAGGTGGTGACATCTGCCAGAAGTTATTAGAAAAAGGCAGGGTCTGACAGTGTTGCACATTTGGAGGCAGCCTGAAAGAGAGGCGGTCCTTCCTCAAGTGAACACTTAGATCGATGGGTAGAAGAAAAGTAAATCTCAAATGTTAGGGACAGTAGAGGCCTAGGGGTAGAGGTTGAATAGAGCATGGCATTTGGGTCCAGTGGAACAAGTTTAACCAGATTAAAGGGTGTGTTCTGGGAAAATGGTTTGAGAGAAGTTGAAGGAATAGGGTGGGATGAGATCAAGGATTACTTTGAAAGTCAGCTGGAGGAATTTAAATTTAATATGGGACTTTTGGAGCTAATAAAAGTATTTGAACAAATGTCCTGACAGGAAGAGGTATTGAAGGACCATTAATCAGGGAGCATTTCTAGAGACAGCTAGGAGGCGTCTGTAGTAATTTAGGGGTGGGGTGGTGGATAGGGAATAGAAGTAAATGGCAGGGGTGCCTGGGTGGCTCAGTTGGTTGAGCTCATGAGTTCGAGCCCCCATCAGGCTCTGTGCTGACAGCTCAGAGCCTGGAGCCTGTGTTGGATTCTGGGTCTCCCTCTCTCTCTGCTGCAACCCACTCGCATTCTGTCTCTTTCTCAAAAATAAATTAAAAAAAAAACACATTAAAAAAAAGAAATAAAAGGCAAAGTTTGGATTTAAGAGGATTTGAAGGGGAAAAAACATCAGTAGAACTTCATGAAGAGAATGAAGTAGAAGCTAATTCCCAAAAATTTTTAAAAATATTTTTTATGTTTATTTATTTTTGAGAGAGCTAGAGAAAGAGAGAGAGCATGAGCACAAGTAGGGGAGGGGCAGAGAAAGAGAGAGACACAGAATCCAAAGCAGGCTCCAGGCTCTGAGCCGTCAGCACGGAGCTCGATGAAGGGCTTGAACTCACCAACTGTGAGATCATGACCTGAGCCAAAGTCGGACCCTTAACCGACTGAGCCACCCAGGTGCCCCTAATTCCCAAGGGGGAATCCTCAAGGTCCTGCCTTTCCTTTACAGCCAGAGAAGGGGAGCAGTTTAGAGGAAGGAGAAGAGTGAATTTTTGTTTTGGAATTGTTGAGTTTGAGGTGATATGGAGTAAAAGTGGTCCCCGTGCAGTTGGAGATGTAGGGGAAGCCAGGAAGCTCTGTGAAAGGGATAGCTGTCACAGGAAGAAAGGCACTAGAACAGAAAGTGCTGGAGCCCTCAGGGCACTTCTCAGTTCTTATTTTTAGGTTGGCAGCTAGACTATCTTGAATTTATTTATTTATTTATTAAAAAAAAATTTTTTTTTCAAACGTTTATTTTTGGGACAGAGAGAGACAGAGCATGAACGGGGGAGGGGCAGAGAGAGAGGGAGACACAGAATCGGAAACAGGCTCCAGGCTCTGAGCCATCAGCCCAGAGCCTGACGCGGGGCTCGAACTCACGGACCGCGAGATCGTGACCTGGCTGAAGTCGGATGCTTAACCGACTGCGCCACCCAGGCGCCCCTATCTTGAATTTAATGTAGTGGTAAATTTGAACCACAACCTGTACCTTCTGCTTCATGAGGTATGAGGTCTCCCACATGGGTACACACTGGTGCTGTTACTATTTTATGCCATTTTCTTTCTGTTCCTTTAATATCTCTGAAAAGTAAAAGATGAACTCACGTGAGGCTTTTCTTGGTTATGTCTAACAGTTTTGAATGCTTTGAATACAAGGAGGATCTGTTAAAGCTAGGGACTTTAAACAAGACCAAGAGATGGGAATGCAAGCTGGTGCAGCCACTCTGGAAAACAGTATGGAGGTCCCTCAAAAAACTAAAAGTAGAACTACCCTACCCTACGACCCAGCAATTGCACTACTAGGCATTTATCCAAGAGATATAGGTGTGCTGTTTTGAAGGGACACATGCACCCCCATGTTTATAGCAGCACTATCGACAATAGCCAAAGTATAGAAAGAGCCCAAATGCCCATCGATGGATGAATGGATAAAGAAGATATGGTATATATATATATATACAATAGAGTATTACTTGGCAATCAAAAAGAATGAAATCTTGCCATTTGCAACTACGTAGATGGAACTGGAGGGTATTATGTTAAGTGAAATTAGTCAGAAAAAGACAAATATATGACTTCATTCATACGAGGACTTTAAGATACAAAACAGATAAACATAAGGGAAGGGAAGCAAAAATAATATAAAAACAGGGAGGGGGACAAAACAGAAAAGACTCTTAAATATGGAGAACAAACTGAGGGTTGCTGGAGGGGTTGTGGGAGGGGGGATGGGCTAAATGGGTAAGGGGCACAAAGGAATCTACTCCTGAAATCATTGTTGCACTATATGCTAACTAATTTGGATGTAAATTAAAAAAAAATTAAAAATAATAAAAAAAGAATAAGCTTGTCTATAAATACAAAAATAAATTTTTGGAATTTTGAAAGAAAAAAAAAAAAAAGACCAAGAAAGACAGCATATAAAATTCAGGCTTCCAGTTGATCAGAAAAATTAGAAGCCAGGGGCGCCTGGGTGGCTCCATCGGTTAAATGTCCGAATCTTGGTTTTGGCTCAGGTCATGATCGCACGGTTCGTGAGTTGGAGCCCAGCGTCGGGCTGTGCGCTCACAGCATGAAGCCTGCTTGGGATGTCTCTCTCCATCTCTCTGTGCCCCTTCCCAGCTTGCTCTCTCTTCTCTCGCTCTCTCAAAAAATAAATAAATAAACTAAAAAATAAACCAAAAAAGAAAGAAAGAAAAGGCAAGAGAAAACAAAAAGGAAAATTAGAAGCCAGAGCCCTCAGTTCCATTACCAGATAGCCTTGGATCAGGGACGACAGCTCTGTTCCATATTGCACTTAGAAAAGAATGGCTACAGAACCTGCTCAGGCCTCAGGAGGTCTGTTCAAGCCTTAACCAATACATTTAAGCATTCAGTAACCACACGCTTTAGCATAATATTCAGGCTTGCAGGACAGCCTGGCTTCCGGAGCATCATGACCACAGGCTTTTGTGTACAACTTGAAAGCTGTTGCTGAGGCACGCCTTCTTGGTAGTCCTCTTAGGACTTGATTCTCTGTAGTCCGTAGCATGTCCCTGCTTGTAGATGACGCCGGATTGCCCAGCTATCATTAAAGGCTGTCTTAGCAGGAAACTGCTTTTCCCTTGGGTAATGTGGGAGACAGGGAAGAAAACTGGTTGCCTGTCATTTATGCTGCTGGTGTGTTTGCTGGCACATAGTATTTTTAGTTCTTGGGCTCTTCAGTTTAATAGGGAATGTCCCTGTGTTGAACCTAGTGTAGATGAGAGCCAAGTTAGCTCAAAAGCCCCATGGCTTTTCTGTCCTGGTAAGGTTTCTCTGCCTAAAGAGGTAGCAGGTTGAGAACACAGGAAGTGACTTTGAATCCATGTCGAAAGATTCATCAGCCTTTCTGATTAGTTGATTTTAAAATGGAACCAAGTGATGAATGTTACATTTATAAAAAAAATAACGTTTTGCTTACGGATCTAACAACCTTTGAAGGTCTGTTCTTTTGGTCACATGGTACACATGCTTACAAAGAGCCATCCCACATCTTCACATCAGAATAAAATAGTTCATGGGGCGCCTGGGTGGCTCAGTTGGTTAAGCGTCTGACTTCGGCTCAGGTCATGATCTCATGGTTTGTGGGTTCAAGCCCCGCATCGGGCTCTGTGCTGACAGCTCAGAGCCTGGAGCCTCCTTCTGATTCTGTGTCTCCCTCTCTCTCTGCCCCTCCCCACTCGCACTCTGTCTCTGTCTCTCAAAAATGAATAAACATTTAAAAAAATTAAAAAAAAAAAAAGAATAAAACAGTTCAACAAGACGTCCATGCGTCATAGGCCACATAGCTTGTGACCGGGTTGAAGGCAACAAGACCATAGAACATCCGATCTGTCATTATTTTTGCAGAGAAAGTTCCATCAGCTGGTTTGAGAGAGACCGTTTAACGCCCTCTTCTGAGCTCCCCCTTAACCTCCTTTACCTTAAAAACAAAAGTCTAATGGGCAAACTATAATTGCCTAAAACAAAACTAGCCAGGCACAGGCGAGTGTGGCTATGGCTACTAGGCGGCATCCTAGGTCAAGTAACCATTCCTTCTGGAAGGGGTAATGCTAACTTTATGAATAGGAGTCCACTAAAAATACAAAGAAAAACCATCACCAAGATACCAAAGGACTTTGTTTCATCTTAGAGCTGGTTGAACTTCAGTGGTGGATAGGGGTCGTTTTTATTTTAGATATGTTTTTGTGGTACAGTTTCACAATCTTATTTCTTTTTAATAAATCTAGGAGCTGTCTCATCTTACGCATTAGAACTTAATTTGACAGATTCAGGAAAAGCCACTTGCCTTTATGCAAAATGGCAGATGAATTTCACAATACGCTATGAGACTACAAGCAAAAGTTATGTAAGTATTTTTCTTTTTTCCTTGAGGTTTCTAGTAGAAACTCAGTTCCGTTCTTTATCCTTTACATACACTTCTGTGGATGAGATTTCATATGTTAACTGACTTAACGCTTCAGTTCTGTGGGTTTTTTAAAAACCTAGATACCTGAAGGTATTCTGTGTAGTGTTAGAAGGAATATTTTACTTCCTTGATTCTTTGGAGTTTTCCTTGCAGTCGGTTAAGGGCACGTGATCCAAAGACTGTGTGGTGTTCATGCCTCACCACATCGGTGCTGCTTTAACATGTACTGACATCAAAGCATTCCCATTTCTAATAGTTTGCTGTTATAATCTCCTTTGGGGGGATGCCCTCTCAATCTTTTTGTCTTATTTTCTTTTGGTTAAGGTCCTGCCTGCTTATAACCTGATTTAAAAAAAAAAAAATCAAGAAGAGAAGTTCAGGCCATTTTTCCTTTTCCTTTTGTCCAGAGGACTGGTCTGTAGATGAAGAATCTGAGACTGGTTTCCACAACAGGCCAGCCAAAGGGCAGCCTGGCCATGGGGGGATGTGTAACGTAGACTGAATTGGCACATCCGACGTAAATGCCTGATGGTCATTTCCGCCTGTGTGTTCCTTACCCCCAAACTTCTTTTTCTTTTAGAAAACTGTAACCGTTTCAGACCTCAGCACTGCAACATATAATGGAAGCTCTTGCGGGGAAGACCAGAATGGTCCCAAAATAGCCGTGCAATTTGGATCCGGTTTTTCCTGGGTTGTGAATTTTACAAAGGAGGGGTCTACTTACTCGATTGACGGTATCTCATTTTCCTACAACATTAGTGACAACACAACATTTCCTGATGCCAAAGATAAAGGTAAACTTAAGAATTAGATTTGTGTTCTGTTCTCTTACTCTTTATTAATAATACAAATGTAAATGACTTAAAAGTCATCTGTATACATGATTGTCTTCCTAACTAGAATGGAAAGTTCACGTCTTTGTTTCCGCCCCACATACAGCAGTGTTCAACACAGTGATGATATTTGCTGTCATTGTTTGCGTACTTTGTTTTTTTAACTTTTTTTTAAATGTTTGTTTATTTTTGAGAGCCAGAGCACAAGCGGGGGAGGGGCAGAGAGAGAGCGAGAGACACAGAATGCAAAGCAGGCTCCAGGCTCCGAGCTGTCAGCACAGAGCCCGATGCGGAGCTCAAACCCATGAACCACGAGATCATGACCTGAACCGAAGTCGGCCACTTAACCGACTGAGCCACCCAAGTGTCCCTGAGTGCTTTACTTTGTACTAGGTAGTACCCTAAATGTGTGACCAGCTGCGTCTCAATCCACAGCAGCAAGCCTGGGAAGTAGATACTGTCTCAACTTTACAGGTAAAGGGAATGAGGCTTAATGAGATTAAATAACTTTCCCAGAGGTTACACAGCTAGTAAGTGGATGAGCTGGTGTTTGAACCAAAGTCTGTTAAGCTACAGAGTTCATGCACTTGACTATTATCATTTATTTCGTTCAGTAGTGGGTAGTTCATCAAATCTGAATGAATGAGAAAATCCTTTAGCTGATAACTATTTTAAATATGTACAAGTTCAGTAACCTGAGATCAGCAGAAATGCTTCATCTTTAGATCTTTTTACCACTTAGATAAGATTTTGATTGAAAGCTAAGTGATTAAGTAAAGGCAAAGTGAAGTCAACATCTGTTGTTATTTTGAGACCATTTCAGGTCAAAACGAATTTGGGAAAGGATTAGTAATAAGGCATTCTTGTAACTCTTAGAATCGAAATGTGTACTAGATTTTTTTTTGTACTAAACATTTTGAAGGCATGGATAGTGGAGGTTTCAGTTTTGTTAGGGATAGAATTCTCTCCTTTCTTTCCCTTCTACTGAGATTTGGGTTAACGTGGTAGCCGAGCATTCTTCACAGATCGGATTTCATTCTGACCCCAAAAACACAGGCAGATGACCGTCAGTTGTGAGGCTTGGGGGGTGAATGACTTACTGGGGTTTATGGACATCAAAAGGCCAGATTTTCAAGACCCAGAAGTGAATGAGCTCATGTAAAACTTGGGAGGTAACACGGACTGAGACCTGGAAATCAGTCCTAGTTTTCTCTTTCCTAATCTTAGTTTGAGAGGGTAACTAGAGCGAGTCTGTTACTGGTTATCTTACATATTTAGCCTCGTGCCTGACATTGTCTTTTAGAACTAGTATAAGACTTGCCCCTCACCTTCAAGGAACTTTAAAACTAGTTGGGGACACAAGGCAAAATTATTTTTCCAAGTTATATGGAAAAAAGTAGAAAGCATTGAGATAGTGTGATTTGTTGTTGTTTGTGATTTTGTTGAGGGGGTGGCAACAGGAAGAAAGCTATAGACCCTCTCTCTCAAAGTACAGAGTAAACTTTGCAGATGGTATATACTTCCTGAGGCCGTCTATGAGTGCCCATGGTTAAGAGTGCCTGATCTGGGGCTTAGTCGATTAAACGTCCAACTGCGACTCGGATCATGATCTGGTGGTTCATGAGATCAGTGCAATCTCAGTGCCCGATTCTCTCTCTTTTGGGATCCTCTCTCTCTCTGCCCCTCCCCTGCTTGTGCTCTCTCTCCCAAAATAAATAAATAAACTTAAAAAAAAAAGTGCCCTCACAAGTGGTCTCATTAGGAGCAGAGAGAAAGGAGAGGTCAGTGTGTGTTGGAGGGGTGAGAAAGCTTGGTATAAAGAAGGACCCGAGCTGAAAACTCAGCTAATGGTCGAATTTGGGTAAGTGGAGAATTTGGGCAGAGGATTTCCAGCAGGGGGAAGCGTAGCATGTGGAGCAGTGTTTGGAGAGCTGCCTGATTAAAATAGAGGCTGTGTGTGTAGCAGAGGGGAAATCAGGCTGGCTGGGTGCAGTGGGTCTAAATTATAGGGGGCCTCGGAAGCCAAGGAAAGGCATTCAGCTTGATGGGGTAGGCATCGGGGAACTGTTTTAGGGTTTGAAGCAGGAGGATGCCATAACCAAAGCAGACACGGTAGTTTATAAAGAATGTTCTGCAGGATTAATTTGGAAGTGAGGAGACTGCAGGCAGAGATGCCAGCTTAAGAGGCTGTTCTGGTCACCGAGGGATGACGTAATGCGTGCCTAGACCAAGGGGGCGGCAGGAAAAGGGCAGATCTGACAGATCTGAATGGAAAAACTGGGGACTCTAAACACCTAACTCACCTCCTTTTTATTTTAAACATGGGGAGGATGCAATTTTTTATTACTAACATCTCTGTACTAAGATATTTGAAACTATTCGGAATTTAAAATGGTTTCCTTCAATGGACTGTTGGGTTTTGATTTAGTGTTTTATTTTTAGGTGTCTGATAATTGAAGTAAGTTTGAAGCTGCTGTTTTCTTTTAAAATTTTTTTTCATGATTAAAATCCAGAAAATTGCAGAGAATAATAGACCTCCGTGTACCCACTACCCAGAATTTATTAAATTGCCTTTTTTTTCTTACTTGCCTCATCTTTTTTTACTTATTTAAAGAAATAAAACCTTACAGATACATTTGAGGTTTCCTTTGTACTCACTGCGACCCCAGAGCCATTTTCCTCTCTGCCTCCCAAGAGGCAGCCACTCTTATGAATGTTGAGTTGTAGTCTTGCTATGCATGTGTTCATATTTGACGAATACACACATATTCATAAATAATACATAGTTTAAAGAATTCGTAGTCTAACTGCAGGATGTCTACAGATTGTTTTTAAGGTCTGTCTATGTAAGATAGGTCAAGTGTCCATTCATTTATGTTGACAGTGAGAAATGATTTTGGGGGAAAAAATGTTCTAGTCGTTGGTTAAAAAATGTTTTTCCCTGTAGCCATTAGGGGGCGCCAAGACAGCATTATTTGTCTGCCTTGCTACTTGATGGAGAGCATGGAAGGCAGCCTGTATTAGGGACCTTAAATACCTTCCTTCCTTGCCGCTTCTCCGCAAGAAATGAAGCCATTTGGGTGGATGACTGTGATCATAGTCTTTTAAAGTTTCAAAACTCTTCGGAATGGACATAACTTATTCCTTTCACATTCTGAAGATTTTCTGAAATGGAATAGTCTTTAAATGCTATCCAGGAAGAGGTTTCAAAAGCTCATTTTAGTTACTGCAACTTCCTCTGGGATAGTAGCACAAAAATAAGGATTTACTGTAAAATCCTTGATTAATCCATCTTTTTTCCTTCCTTGAGCACTAAGCCCTGTTTTTTTAAGTTTATTTATCTATTTTGAGAGAGACAGAGACAACACGAGTGGGGGAGGGGCAGAGAGAGGAGGAGAGAGAGAGGATCCCAAGCAGGCTCCGCACCACCAGCACAGAGCCCAGATACAGGGCTCAAACCCACGAAACTGTGAGATCATAACCTGAGCCGAAAGCAGGAGTTGGATGCTTAATGGACTGAGCCACCTAGGTGCCCCCAAGCCCTGTTGCTTCTACCTTAGATATGTTTTCAGTTTGGCCTCTTTGCTGTTTCTTCTGCCACTCACCATCCTAATTCAGGCAACCCCTTCCCCTTTTCCCTTAACCAGGTCAGCAGCTTTCTAAGCACTTTCCCTCTTAAATGACTTTTCTTAAAAGTTTTTTCCCCTGCCCAGCCCCCACGATTTTGCCATCTTCCTGAAAACAAAGGATATGTGTGTTACTTATTTCCAGCTTAACAAACTGGAGCTAACCTTCCACTGCTAACAAAACAAAGCCTAACCTGTCCTCAGCTCATTTGGTTTGCTTCGGTGTGTGGCCACCTGCAGCTCGTCTTTCCTTCTTAACCCCCATCGCGTCTTTCCTCTTACTCCCTATGTTTCAGCCACAGCGAATTTGTCATTTCCTGAACACGCCATGTGCTTTGTCACTTGAGGATGGGGTTAAGACAGGCAGACGGAAGGAGAAGAAAGTCTACACATGTATTTACGTTATTGCTTTTCTCCTACCTTCTTGGAAATGGCTGGTGTTAATCTTGTTTTACAGGGATTTTGACCGTTTATGACCCTGTGCGATTCAGAATTCCATTGAACAACATCTTCAGATGCAATAGTTTATCGACTTTAGAAAAGGATGATGTTGTCCAGTACTATTGGGATGTTCACGTACAAGCTTTTGTCCAGAATGGCACAGTGAGCACAAAAGGTGAGTACTTAAAGTATAGATACTTGGGTCCTAATTTAAGGTTGGAGTATACCAGCTGGCTTTAACTGAACTTGTTATCTGAAAGCATTTCTTTTTATTTTTTAAATATTTATTCATTTTTGAGAGACAGAGTGTGAATGGGGGAGGGGCAGAGAGAGAGGGAGACACAGAATCGGAAGCAGGCTCCAGGCTCTGAGCTGTCAGCACAGAGCCCAACACGGGGCTCGAACTCACGGACTGTGAGATCATGACCTGAGCCAAGGTCGGACGCTTAACTGACTGAGCCACCCAGGCACCCCATAAAAGCATTTCTGTCCTGAGATTTGTTCATGGTTTACAGTGGACTGTAAAGTTTTTGTAAAGAGCGACAATTCATACTCTTGTGGAACTTGCAATTTTTTAAAGTTTACTTATTTATTTTGAGGTGGGAGGAGAGAGAGAATCCCAAGCAAGTTCCACACTGTCAGCACGGAGCCCGATGTGGGACTTGAACTCACGAACCGTGAGATCATAACCGAGCTGAAACCAAGAGCCAGATGCTTAACCGACTGAGCTACCCAGGCACCCTGGAACTTGGAATTTTAAGTTGATGACGTACCTGTTAGAGGATGGTTTTTAAAAAATGTTTCACCTATAATGTTTTCAGCTGACCAAACCTAATCTTTGTTTGAACAAATCCTCAAATAGCTTGATCATCAGCTCTTTAGCTTTTGATGATCTAAGACCACAGCTCAGGTTGTGATCTTAGATGATCACAGGATGATCTTAGGATGATCTTAGACCAACCAGAGGTTGGGTCCTACTCGGTTAATAATGGCAATGGTACTTGTCTCCTGGCTACCATGGGGCTGCAGCTGAACATT